AGCATTTCTCAAGCTCCACACAATTCGGCATAAATTCAAATGATGTTTCTGGACACAAAAGTTGAAGATTTAAACACTCTTCCCTTCACATGTTATTTTACCTTTTCTTTCTTTTCTATTTTCATTGTATAGTATAAATCGAAAAGATGCTTAATATGAATTTAATGTTTGCTGCTTCTTGAAGCATTGATCATTTCCCAAAAAACAGCACTAACATTGAGATAGGATAGAATAGTTTCAAGAAATGATGTTGTGAAACTAGGGTGACACATTATTACAAAGAAGAACATAATAATTTAGTACCTCATGGTTTCAACCCCACCAGAAAAGAAAATATGGCATGATGGGCAAGTGGACACAAACTTTACTGAAAATTGATTTTCCATTCATGTATATATACTTGGCTATATGTACAAGGTTACAGACTCGACCCCCCGGTGAGCTTTTGCTTATCGGGGTGCTTGAATTCAGTTTGTTTGTTCGTTCTACAATGCAGATATAGTCACTTTACAATTACGGACTGGACCAATAATGACCTATAAATCGCAAAATTCTCCATCAATCCTGTTCTGAACGGCTTTGACAGCAGCTACTCGGGCTGCAGTGGCAGCTCTGTTTGCTGCCATTACGGCCTTTTTCACTTGTTCATCCACCGGACGCAGATGAATTGCATTTTCTGCCATTTTTCTAGCAGCCTGCAACAATTCAAGATGGAAAAAGAGGGAGTCAGGTCATAAAGTTTCTATCCAGTATTGTCCAATACTGCATAACGATCATTCATTTCAAGTGTTACGGGGTTGATGACAAAAAGAGTAATCAAGATATGAACCAGAAGTCGATTTAGTCACCTGTACTGCTTGAAGAACTGTGTCAGTTAATGGCGGAAGGGGAGACTTAAGATTGCCATCATTCCATTCGCCACATTTCGACTCACCGCTTCGAAAGGTATACATGCCATAACCTTGTTTACGTCCTTCGTGCCACGATCCTTCATAGCAGTGACCATTTGCAAAGTGATAGACACCAAAACCATGGATTTTATCTCCGAAATACTCCCCAGCATATCGATCTCCATTTCTATTTAAAAAAAAAAAAAAAATCGAAATTTCATCATTATTCTAAGAGTTCCTTAATATTTTGCACATCAAAATCCGAAAGGCATTTAAATTCTTAAACAAAGAGAGACAAAAGATAAGAACCATGATTAACAATCCTTAAGCTAGCACAATAGCATATCCATTGCATGATCAAAAGAAATCGAATTAAAAAATTAGAAAGGTATTTTCAAATGTAAGAACTGGAATAGATACGTGCTATCGAGAAAAGCAGCTTTTACAATTAATGAAAGAATTAACTCCGAAAAATTGCATTGAAGTCTTGAACAAATATAAAAGAACAAAAAAATAAAAATAAAATTCAATCTTTTATGATTCACATAAATGCAAAGAGAACAGTTTAAGATTCTACAATCACAATATATTCAAGATTCAGGTATAATTTATAGAACCCTAAAAAAGAAAAAATAATAATAATAAAATAATAAAAAAATATAAGAAGAAAGAAGCAATTATTCCAACCTGAAATGGTAACAGCCAAAGCCATGCTTAACTCCACACTTGAACTCTCCAATGTAACAGCTCCCATCTGCGCAAGTCTGCGCTCCTGCGCCATGGCTCTGCCCATTACACCACTCTCCGGCATAAGTATCACCGGTGTAAAATTTGTAAACTCCATATCCATGCCTCAAACCTTGTCTATATTGACCCCGGTATCGACTCCCTTTAGCCCAGCTCTCTATTCCATATCCATCGTATCTTCCATCAATCCAGTCTCCTTCATATCTTCCATTGACAAAGTAATTGTAAACTCCACTCCCATTGCACCTACCTTTGTGAAATTCGCCTTCGTAGAAGTCGCCATTGCTGTAAAACTGCACCCCTTCTCTTATAATCTTCTTAGCATACTCTTCTTTACTCTCCTTTTTACCCAAATCAGGCTCGCCAATGAACCACTGGACCGATTTTGAATGTTGTTTTGATGTAAAACAAGAAAAGCCAACTCTTTTAGCATACTCATCAAACAATTGCTTGAAGATAACGAAGTTTTGGTGAATTAAGGCTATGTTTTTCGATGTGAAAAAAAGCAAAACTGCTATGAAAATCAGGACTAGAAGCAGGTTTTCTGAGGTGGGAATATCATCTCTGTTGAAAAAAGCGAAAATGGTGTACACAGAGAGTACAAGAATTGCAATAAACGGAGCCAAACCGAATCTGGAACCGGGTCGAACCAGTGGCAAACTTGGATTGCCATGTGGCTTCTGCTCTTCAAG